CTCGGAACCAAACGCAGGTCTCTAGCATGGAAGGCACGAATCCTACCACTTGAACCGTCATTGGCTCAAAGCACCCATAAACCCTGCTCCTAAGAAATGGGGTTATGTCAGCTGTGTTGCTGCTGCTCATCACTATGTCAATACTGTAAACCCTGGGTGGGTGTACAAACAGTTAAGTCATTGAACCACTAATGACAGGTGGCAGTTTGTGTCTACCCACAGTGCTTCAAAAGAAAGGCCTAGTCATCTACTTCAGAAAAAACAGTTACTGAAAGTCCCATGGATCACAATTCTATTCTCACGCACACAGGACTGCCTAAGTTGGAATCTGCTCATTGGCAATTGATTAAACAAAAGAGAGGCCTGAGAGCTCTAGGTGAGGAATATAATTAACCAGGACTCTGTCTAAAATGCCTTTTTTGTCAGAGTGAGAAATATCTAATGTATCTGATAATCATATTTTCCTGTGGTGGAAAAAACATGTAAAATTCAGTTAATTTGCTCTTGAAATTATTATGCAACCAGTCTTCTAATACCGCTTTTTCAGCTTGATCTGTCTTCTCATTTTCTTCTCTCAATACATTCAGAGTGGCTTAAGAAAGGCAATGAAAAGGTATTCTTTTCTAGTATTTCCTGTTTTTAAAAACCAGGAACTTTCATTTCTAAAAATTTAACATAAAAGTTATTTTTGGTGCTAGGTGTTTTTTTTTTTTTAGTTATTTTACATTGATTAACATGTAACTTTTACTTGTTTCCCCTTGTTATAAAAACAGCAGAGAAGGATTGATTCATTCATAGAATCTTAAAATATTCGAACTGGAGAACACCTGTGCAGCCTACTTTATCTGTTAGGAAACTCAGGCTTGGATAGAACAGCCAAGAGGAAATAGAATTAAGTCTCAAGGCTTCCATTCTTCTTTTTTTCCATAACAGTGCTCTTCCAGTACCAACTTTTTAAAGTAGATAATGTATAAAATTATATTGCATTAAAATTTTAAAATCTAAAGCATAGAAATAATAGATACTAGCCTATATCTCTTTGGTCCCTACCCTTCTTAGACAAATATTGTCACACTTGTCCTACATCTTTTAGATCTATATATCAGTAAGTTTAAACCTTTTCTGTTATTTTACTCCTAGTGAAAGAAAACAGATTATAGGAAATTACTAGTCTATATGATTCCAGAAATTTAAATGGAACCGTTGTACTTCTGTTATTTAATGCAGATTATTTGGGTAATTATTGTTATGTATTGACACTAACATAGTTTAAGAAAATATGAATCTAATCTTAAATTGGAAATTTTTAATAATGCTTTACCTATTGTGGAAATTAACTATACCTGACTGCTGTAATTTCAAGGGAGTTCCCTTAGTACGCAGCATTAAAAAAAAAACATACTTTGTACGCTGGATCACATTTAGGCAGAAACCCCAGGCCTTTTAAGGGAAAAATAAAGAGAGGAAGTATTAAAAATGGCCTTTTCTGTTTTCCCTCTTGACAAAAAAAATCCCGTCAGACAGATTCATTGTTCCCTTCAGGTGCTTTTTTCTCCTTCATTTGTAAATTAAATCAGTTGTCACTTATAAATCAACAAATTCTTCTTGCATGGGTAATTTCTTTGTCACATAATTCTAGCCATGATGCTGAAAAATAAAAAATAAGGTTTGATTCAACTTTTGAATCAGATCAAGCTTATTTTTTAATACAAAAGATCATTTTAATTAGACTTATAAGGCACTTTAGTTTGGTGTTTTAAAAACATCACTATATATAAAAGCATGTTGTAGTTGTTGTTGTTGTTGTCAGATGCCATCAAGTCATTCTGACTCATAGAGACCTCACATAACAATAGTATAAACACTGCCTGGTTCTGTGCAGCCTTCACTATCATTGTAAGCCATTGTATCAATCCATCTCATTGAAGGTCTTCCTTCCTCTTTTGCTCTGACCCTCAACCAAGAATGATGTTCTTCCAGGAACTGGTCCTTCCTGATTGCATGTGCAAAGTTCATGATACAGAGTCTCACCAGCCTTACTTTTAAAGAACATTCCAGCTGAACTAAATCCAAGACATTTGTGCATTGTCTGAAAGTATATGGTATATTCAGTATCCTTCACCAATATTATAATTCAAATGCATCAGTTCTTCTCAGGTCTTCCTTATACAATGTACAGATTTCACATGCATGTCAAGCAATTGAAAATGCCACGACTGGGGTCAGGTGCACCTTAGTCCTCAAAGTGGCATCCTTGCTCTGTGATCTTTATTTTCTGTATTTATTTGTAACTTTTTTGTATTGCACTTCAACAAAGATGTCCTTTTATCAGTTCCTCTTTTTCTCTTTTTTAAAATAGGTTAATGGCATATAATCAATATATCATAGATCTATAATATATCATATGATCTATAATTTAATAGATCATACTATTTGATAGTTCAGTCATATTTAAGAGGAGTCATACAATTTTCACCACAATCGAGTTCAGAACATTTTCTTCTGTCTCGTACTCATTGTTAGCAAAACTTCCAATAAAACTCATTCACAAAGGCAAAACTATGCCTTCCAGATTAACACATGTCATAACAAAGCTAAGAAAGCATTAAAATACTAACTATATGGTAGTCCTGGGCCACCATTCGTTGAGCACCTTGCAAGCAAGAGATCCGAACCAAAAAGTCCAACCACCACCAAATCTGTAACCTTGGAATAGCGGCCATCTGCTTCTTACCTACAGCGTTTCAGCCTTAAATGTAAGGGAGTGTGTCCATTCCTCCTATCTGCTACAAGTGAGTTTAAAGTAAAACCCAGTTTGCTGAATGGGGTTTCTACATCGAATCCTTCTGGTGTGGCCTATGAAGAATGTGGTGCACCTACCAACGACAGTGTACAGGTGATCAACAAATATGTAAAAATGTTCGAGTTCATTCACAATAAGAGAAATGTAAAATAAAGCAACAATGAGATAACGTCCTGCACTAACACCTTTGGCAAACTGCAATAAAACAGAAAATCAAAAATGCCGGAGAGCATGTACCAAGATAGGAATGCTTTTACATTGCTGGTAGAACTGTAGAATTGTACAACCATTATGGAAATCAGTATGGCACTTCCTCAAACAAATGCCAATACAGGAAACATACGATCCAGCAATCTCTCTACTGGGTGTATATACCTTAAAGAAATTAAGAATAGAACACAAACAGACTTATGTTAATGTATACTTACTGCAGCAGTTTCCATAATAACAAAAACATGGAAATAACCAAAAACCCCAACTACAGAAGAATGGCTAAACAATCTGTAGTATATTCATACTATGGAATTCTATGCATTAAGAAAAACAGTTCTTAAACACTGCAAGACATAGACAAAACTAGAGAACATTAGGCTTAGCAAACTCAGTCAGTCTTACAAAGATAAATATTTAATATCACCAGTCTTATAAGGGAAAACAAAGAAGAATAAACGTGGTTCAAACATCAAAAGACAAAACATGACTACGAGGAGGCCAGGGACAGAGGTTGGAGCAGAAACGGGGGAGGGAGGGATTGGGAGACAGGTACCAAAAAAGGCAGAATTTAATAGGATATTGTTGTTGATTTCATTTCTCAGGCTGTGTAATACAAACGTATGTTTCTTTACAAACAAATAAATCCCTCCAGAGTCCTTATCCCCAAAACCCAAATAGTGGTTTGAAAGGCTTTAATAAAAAGGAGGAGGAAAGATATCATTGAAATGGACTGGGAGTCTTTAGTGACAAACAAGTTCATCTCAAAGGAAAAAAAAGAAGATGCTGGTGTGCATGAAAGGACAGAATCTAAAGTCTCAGTTGTCTACATCACTCAATCGGGGTCATGAAGG